GACCTTTAAAGGTCCCTTTCAAAGCAAAGGATTCTGTGATTCTATTCTTTGATTCTCTCCCATGACCAGAGTGGCAAGATGAGCCCAGGTTTACACCTGGCAGTGGAGTCTGTGTTCCTCATGGGTGTCACAGCCACTGCCACCAGGCTGCTGCTAAGAAAGATTGCCAAATACTGCATTCTATGTCTTGAAAACTGTCTGAAAAAACTCTAAAAGTCAGAAATGCAAGGTGACAGATTTACAAAGGTGGCAGGGAAGGGATAATTTGGAAGGAAACCAGGACAAGATGATGAGAAGGAAAGTAAGGAGTACATGGGGGAAAGAGACAAATGTACCAGGCAGGAAACCAAGTGAAAGGAGGAGGTGAAAGAGGAAGCAAACAGGATGGTCAAGAAAGGGACAGAGAGGGAAAGGCAGAGGAAAAAAAAGGGAAAATAGTGAAAAAGGACCCAGTGGAGGAGGGGGAAATGCAGAGCTTCTTTCTAAGAGATAAGAGAAAATAAATGTAGTCTGCTGCTGCTCAAAGCAGCCAGCAGCAGAAGTAACATATTACTGGGTGTGCACTTCAACAAGAAATGGACATTAGACTGGTAACAAATTACACAGGGCTGTCTTCCCCCTGGGCAGAAATCACAGAAATAATAACTGATATTCTCCTAAGTCTTGTGATTTTGGGGTCCTTGGACAGGAAACATACTGGCTACAGAAGGGCAGTGTCCCCCCTGGGAGGGGCTCTGGCTTTGCCCATGGAGCTGTATATTCTTGACATGAGATGCAGAATTAAATTATTCTTTGGCTTTCTTTTCTCCTGAGGTTCAGCAGGAATTTGAATTCTGTCCATGTAACACTTTTGTCTCTTTGCTTGCATGAAACAATCCTAATTGCAGACTATACTTTTTGAATAGAACTTCTGCCAAAGATCCATTCAAAGAGGACACAGAGCTGTGCTCTCCTACTTGGCTGTTCAGATTAAGATCATCCAAGTCAGCATGCAAACACTCTAAGGTGGGCTCTCACTCATCCTGCCAGAAGAATTTGGTGCAATGACTATTTGATTACAATTTATATTCCATTAAAAAATACAGTAGTAAGCTTTTAAAGCTGCAAGGTCAAACTTTCAGGAGAAAGAAGATTCCCAGGCTCAGGCAGGATAACCCTTCTGGCCTTATATGCCTATGCACTCTGACAGATTTTATTCAGAGGATCATGTCCAATTTTTTGCACAAAATCTCTTTATCATTCAATGCACAGGGTTAGACATTTCATTAAATCTTTTCAAAGAACTCTAATCCATAAAAATCCATCAGAGAAAACTTTGTGAATGGTTGATATTTGGTAACCAAAGAGTTGAGTGGGAGCCTGTGGGCTGGGAGATGTCAGGCAGTAATGCTTTCTGCACTGCTCCTGACTTTGAAAATTTCTAGCTGCAATTACTGTCAGGTAAAAGTACCCTTTCCTGCCAGTTTGGCAGAAATATAGAATGGTGGCTTACAAGGTAGATTAGCTACCAACCCAGCAGCTGATGGAATTAGCCTTGGTGGCATAACAAAGGGGAGCTGCAGAGCTGCCACCAGCCCTTCCCTGCTGGCTGCCTGAGGGTGGAAGTAAATTGCAGGGACAGTGTGTGAGCAGCACAATTGTGAATTTTCTCCCCACCACTTGCCTCACATGTACAGACCAGCCCCAGCCTGCCTGAGGGTGACACATGTGCTCCAGGGTTTCACCTCCTGTGGGGTCACCTTTGTCTCAGTGACAAAGTCAGGAACCATCCCCTGGTTCCAGAGCAGGCTTTGTTGGGAAAGCCCTGGTGAATCCACAGTAGCAGCACACAGGGAGAAAAGGGCAGCACCCTTCCACCCCCACAAACGCCACGGGCTCTGCTGCCAAAAGAAGAAAACATTTCCAATTCAATTGTTTTCCTTGTGGCAAAGCTGAGATTCCCATTCAGGATATTTAAAAGCTAAAAATCAGGCATCCACAGTAGAACTTAAATTGGTCAAGATCAGGCTTTCCACACAGGCAGGCAAACACACATCAGGGTGAGCTGGAGTGCTTCTAGTGCCTGCCTAAAGCTGTCCTACCAAACCAAGCACACAGCTGCATTTTCTTTCAAAATACTACTGCAGCCTTTTAAGAGAGAGGGGGAATAACCCAGATTCTGGCAGTGGGGAATATTTCACAAATCATATATGCTTTGGCATCAAGCCCTTAAAGCCAGGGGCCTTTACTCACAGGCTTTGCTGGGAGAGATCCACCCACCTCAAGTGGGATTAATTAAAAGAGGCATGTATCATGCAAATAGTTTCTCTTTCCTTACAGAAATATTCAGAGCACATAACCCAAACCAGCTTTAGAATCAGAGCGAAGCAGGGAAGAAAATGATTTCCTGCTCTCCTAACTCTTTTCCTTTCCCTGTACATTAAGGGAGGAACAGTGAGAGAATGCTGAGAGCTCACCATTTCTGTGCATTTCCTTTGATAAATCCAAATAAAGTAGAAGAAAAAAAATAGTGTTTTCAAAGATGGGCTGTATCTCATGGTAAGGTGCCAAATTTTCCACATCAAATGTGTGCTGCTGATCTGCTCATTGGACAAGGACAGTCCAAGTCTCACCCCTGAAAATGATCTTTTTATCTTAAGGCAGAACAGGAGAAAATGGAAACTCTGTATTTCTTCAGTATGTCAGATTTTCAGCTCCATGTCTCAGGGACAGGGGCTGCAACAGAAAGCTCCTTTGGAAAGGGAGATAAACTTTAAAAATACTACTTTCTTCTCAGGAAGTTAAACTATTTCCCTAGATAAGAGAGATCCCAACACTTCAAGGAATCCCTGCAGAAAATGGTGGTGGAACAGTCAGAGCACAGTGCCCCAGTTCAAAAATAAGTCACAGAAAAAGCTCAAGTTTCCACAAGAACTCTTCCTCAAAACTCTTTTTTCCCCCTTTTAATATCTCAGACCGATTTTCTGAGTCAATTTCCTATGATCCTGCAAAGGCTGTTATTAAAACCAGACCAAGCGTAGCTGAAATTCCAGGGCTCCAAAGAAACATTGAATAGGCGCAGGAGCTGGCCACACTGTTCCCCTCAGGTGATTTCCCTGCAGCCCCTTCCCTGGGATTTCCTCCCTCACACTTTGGTCAGCAGAAGAAACCTGAAGTTTCAGCAGAATAGCAAACCCTTCCTTCATTCTTTAGCACTTGAGATTGTTTTTTCTGTCTGAGGCTTTCATAGCTCTAAAAGACAGAACTAGGATCTAGTCCAGAAGATGTGTATTGCAGATTATTTTTTTCCACAAAAATGTCAGGCAGTCTCACATTCAGTTCTGTATCCAGCTACAATTTGAAAATCACTGACCTCCTTTATCCACCACTGCTTTTCATGCCACCAGTGGCGGTCCCGAGCGGAGGCGTTCCCAGGCTGCTTACCCAAGTGTCTTTTGCGTGCTAGAAAATTCCTTCCTGGTCTCCATCCCACCTAGCCCTCTGGCATGAAGGACAAGATCAGCAGACATGCTCTTGGCAAGGCACCCTGGGAAAGCAGCATCCATGCACAGCCAGGGCAGGCAGGGGAGGGAGACGTGCTGCCGTGCAGGGCAGGGGATGGGAGCCATGCTTCTCTCGGGTGGCACAGCTGGCACAGCTGCACCTCAGCCCTGCATCCCTCTGAGCTGGCCTCTGATGGCACAGAGCAAGCAGCAGGGCCAGCACCCTTTGGCTCAGCCCCAGGCTCTCCCAGCAAGGGGATGGTCCTTGGGTTCTTCCCTTCCAGTTTTGAAAGGCAATTCCAGATTTCTCCCCCCCCTTTCTACCCCTACAGGATATGCACTGAGGTGAAAGTGTTTCATGGCTGGGCATCGATGCAACAACGCCCTTTTCATAGCAAATGTATAAAAATACTTCATCCCTTTGATATACCTCATTTATTTATGCTTTCTATTATAAAGGGTAATTATATTAGAAACACTGAGCCTCAAATTTAAGTTACTGACAACTATGACAGATCTCACCTATTTAAAAGAAAATTCTTCTCCAAAGCTTCTCTTCTCAATTACCGTTTTTAAAATTGAAAATGTGCACATTTTATTTTGGTTCCTATTTAGCTGGCTCTTTTTTTTCCAAACTGTGAGTACTTTTAATGTAACAGCTAATTTATCAAAAATGGAGAAACCCCTTTGTTGCAACAGTGCCTTATCTGCCCACGCCTCTCATAATTTAGAAAGTTAATGAATCCCTCAGAATCAGAGGTTTTAATATATATATATATATAAGTGATTAAGTGTATTACATCATTGTGAAAATAAACATTAAGGGCATTCTATTCATATAACAAATAAAAAAAGCAGTCAATGCCATAGAAAATTATACAATATGCAAAGCTACTTTTAAAGGTCCTGATAAATGCAAAGCTCTGAGAAGGAAAGGAAATAATGCATTGAAGATAATCTTGTTCTTTAACTAACTTCTTGGTACTATATGATGTACCCTGTAAGACAACCAGGGACTGTTTCCAACTGGCTGGAAATTGCTGGCTTTGCAGGACAAGAATCAGACTCCTACCAGTTTGTTCCACTGGTTCTACAAGAACTGCTCTTGCTCTCTCTCCCAGGAGAGCCCCTGCTTCCTCTGGTGAGGGTTCAGAAGGGCACAAGTGAGGAGCTGTACCCCTGCCCCTCTCCTCCTGGGGGTAGGTGACCTCCCTCTCTCTCTCTGGTCCCTTATGAGGTACAACACAACCAGAACCGGGGTCCTTAATGCAAACAAATCAGGGTCTTCCAACTGACTGACCAGAATTTTTTAAAATGAAAAAATCTTCCTATCTTTTCAAACAGGCTATGTGCTAAGAAGTGCTTCCATCAACCCCCTCAGACTGCAGGGAATGCCCAGTTGTGCTTTGCTACAAGCAGCAGCAGCGCTGTGTCCCACCCAGGGAGCAGCGCAGGGTGTGTCTGTGCGGTGCCAGGGGAGAGAACCACGGCACACCCCCAGGCACACCAAGCTCTTACCTTGGCACGCTGGGAGGAGCCCGGCTGGGCCGAGAGGGAACCTGGGGGGGCCCTCCGTGGCCCTCGGCGCTGGGGAACGGAGGCAGAGCTGCCGGGCGGAACGGCACCGGGGGCGCCCCCGACTGCGGGCCCGGAGAGGGGATGGCGGGAGCGGGTCCTCGGCCAGATAAGGCTCTGCTGGGGGGATTGTTCAGGGTAGGTCTCCTCGGAGTTGAAGGACTTGGAGGAGGTGATCTGGAGAAATATCAGAGATTTTAAAAGTTCAGTAAGGTGGGGGTGCACGTTTTGGGTTTTCTTTGATGTATTGTATTTTGCTTTAAACAAAAGTTAAAACTTATGACAGAAGGTATTTATTGGCATTTTCCTTTGCTGTCGGTGTCAGAGGATCACATACAATTAAGACTCATGTGTTTCCCACTGACAGCATACAAGCAAAGAGGTGAATAAAATGGATTTTATTATTCAAGTCCTAATAATGTTTTGTTAAGTGGAATTTCTAGGACATGGAGCCTGACATGCTGAATTATTATAACAGCTTGCAAAAGGAGGCCAAGTGGATACAAAACTGGGGTGACAGAAGCAGCTGCTATTTGAAGCATCAGAGAAGCTGTTAAGTCCACTGGATGGTCTTCTGCAAGGCAAATATCCTGTCTGGTGCCCACATAAACATACCCACAGAATAGGTGGGTATGTTTATATATATAAACATATTCCCATATTATATATTGGAAAATGTTTTGATTTTCCTCACAGATGTCATTAACACCTGGAGGAGCATCTTCCCAAAAAGACAGGCAGGGAGGGAGCTCCTGATCTTGTTGGAACTCTGGTTACTGAGAATTTGAGACTTTCTGTGCTGACAGACACTGACCCCCAGGAGAACACTGCATTGACCTGAGGCTGTGGAGAAGCTTCCAAAATGGAATGACAGAACTGGGATTGTGGGTGTGGAGTTTGAATAGAAGTGTGCAATATCACACGGTGGAAAACTTAGAGTTTAAAGTTTTAAAATATAGTAATATATATAAGACAAGATAGAAGTTTAAAGACAGAATCTAGTCCTTCTTCATAAGTTTGAATAGTATTGTAAAATTAAATTTAAAAATCCACATTACAGGCCATGACTAGTTAGTTATTAAGTTAAAAGTAAAAATAATTTAAGTGTACCTTCTTAATTAGACAGTTTACCCTTAAAAAGCCTTGTAGAAAAAGAAATACCACTCCGTTTTAAGTTAGTTAGAGTGAAGCGCTGTAGAACTCCCAGTTTATAAAACTGTGATGGAGATAAAAACTAATAAACATCCAAACATAAAATACCATCTCACACATTTAATCCCAACCCTAAATAAAAAAAAAAAAAACAAAAAAAAAACAAAAAAACAAAGACAGTGGCAGTGCCCTAGACAATCAGGCTGGCCACTGTGGCATTTACATTTTTTGAACATGATTTTTTCACCTAGGGTTTTTCTCCTGGGAAGCTGAAAGGTAGTGAGAGGCTTCAGAGAAAAGAAAAACAATTCTTAGCTCATTTGGGGTTTTTTGTGTTGTGCTTATGCAGAATGTGTTTGGAGATTGTGTATTTAAGGTGATTGCTTGATTGGACTCTGGTGTGAATTGTTTTGACTCATTGGCCAATTAGGGCCAAGCTGTGTCGGGACTCTGAAAAGAGTCAGAAGTTTTTATTATTTTTTTTTTAGCATTTAGTAAGGATTTTTTCTGTATTTTTTAGTATAGTATAGTGTCAGAACCCAGGACATTCCTCTGGCTGCCCTGGGTGATTCCAGACCCTGGCAGGGGCTCAGAGACCTTGGCACAGAGTCACAAACACCTGTGCCTTTGATTTTAGCCCATGGAAACGATTACCAACTTTGTGTGAGGATTTACAAGCCACAAGAGTTTGAGTAGAATGACAGTCAATTTGTCACAAGGTGAAAAAGCAGAATTTTGGGGATTTAGAATGGGGGTTCAAGAGGCAAGATGGAGGAATCTGGGCATGTCCTGTCCTTCTTGCCCTCGATCTTCTGCTGTGATGGTGACACTTCTGGATTGGTTTAGAGTAGAGACAGAGTGTCTAACATAGGTGATAGGTATTGGAAAATTATTGTAAATAAAGTACACGTAGTTCTTAGTATAAAAAGCCAACACCACCCCAAGGGCAGGGACTGTGCCACAACCCGACCTGCTGGACAGAGCTCAGCAGGGCAGAGAGAGAATGGAACAGAGCACAGTGCCTGTGCTGGGTGCCATGGCAGTGCAGCTGGGAGGCTGTGGGGCTGCTCACCTGCGTGCCTGCTGGAGCCAGGAGTCATCCACAGGCGGGGGAGCAGGGGTGGACACGGTGCTGGTGCTGATGTCCCCGATGATGGCCAGCGCCTCCTGCAGCGCCTGGTACATGCGCAGGGTCTCGTCCCGCCGCTGCGCCTGCTCCGCCGACTCCTCCATCAGAGTGTTCTGGTCCTCAGACGAATACAGGTGAGCCAGCAGCTCTGCGTTGATAAATTCTTTTACCTGTTTCATCAGTGGGAAAAATGCGTATTTTATGATTGGCTTTTGGCAAATATTCAAATGAATATTATATGTGTTGTGTTAGAAAGTTATGCTGTATTAATTTTCTTAAGTAGTGTGTTAAATATATTTTTAGGTTATAACATAAGGTTAAAATAGAAACTATGCTATGTAAGATACTTTTTTTAAAGAAAGGACTTGCACTGAGATAGCAGCCACAGGACAACTGAATCTTTCAGAGAAAGAGAATTTATTGCTCCATTATCAGAAGAAATGAATGAACTTCTTCCTGCCTGGCTCAGCCCTGAAGGATGGGGATTCCTCCTCTGAATCCTGATGCCGTCAGGATTCAGAGGAAGAAGCTGACACTGCCCAGACAGAATCCTGTGTTTAAATGGAATTTATGCATCATGGATGAGGTGTATGAATATGCAACAGGCTGTTGCTTTTTTTTAATCCTCTGTTAACGTGGGTCCTTTTTCGGGCTTATTTTGCCCAGAAAGGGCTACCTGGACTGTCTGTAACTCTTTGTTTCTGTTGTCTCATATTGTCCTAATCCAAATTGTCCAAATTTTTATTACTCAAATTGTATTACTATTTTTATAACCATTTTATTACTATTAAACTTTTAAAATTTTAAAAACAAGTGATTGGCGTTTTTCACAATCAGACAGAAAAGAAAATAATCCAAACCACCAAAGAAATAAACAAAAGTCTCTATGGAAAATACAATGCTGAACAAATACAGGGGAGATCACTGGAAGCAGGAGATTGAATCAGTTTCTCTTATTACCTTACACCAGCTCTGCTGCAATTCTGCATCTCTGAGGTGACACCTCTGCTTACCCTTCATTTCCTAACAGCTCCCAGGAGCCAGCTGCCATTTTGGGCCATTTTGGACCATTTCTAAAGGGCTGACTGGGAAGTAAATGGCAGTACCTTCAGATATAAATTCCCCTGGGAATGGGAATTTTCAGGCTTTATGACATACCTGTTAATTACTTTCTTAGCAACAATTTACCCTATTGTAGACAGCATCTTTCATTTCCAGCAAGTCTGTCAGATTCTGAATAACCCATCCACACACATTCAAACTGAAGGGAGAAGTCTCCAAGTAATCTAATTTACTGTATTGATTTCCTGCTATGCCTGCCCTGGTTATGGAAACCTGGGCCACATTAAGAGACATAAAAAGCTAGAGGTACTCTGATTAAATAAGACTGTGGTAAATAGACCAACTGCTGACCTACTAAATCCTTGCATTTGAGACTTGTTGCTCTTCTGATCTATTTCTCATCTGGTGCTTTGCTCCATAAAGCTTTTTTGAGCTGGAGATAGTGATGATAGTACATTCCCAGGATTCTGATTGCATAAACCTGAGCTCCATTTGCTCATGGGTTTGTGCTACTTTTGTGATTGAAAGGCTGACAGTGAGACTAAGAATGTTTGTGTTTAGACAAGGTCAGTGAGAGCAGTGAGCCAGCACAGCCAAGAGACCCTTTCTGGTCACCAGCAATGAGCAGGCAGCCAGGACAGAGCTCAGTGGGAAACAAAATCACAGTGCCTGGGCTTGGCTGTCATTTCCCATTCACGTATGACAGGAGATGCACAAATTCTTAGCAAAGCCTGCAACATTTTTCCATGAGTTTCATGCTGTTTTCCAGTAGATGGTACTGATCAAGAGCCAGAGTACACTACTTTCCTTGTGATTGCCAAAAACTCCACATTAAAAACAGATATCACAGTTAAACAGCATCACATTCTGCTCGATGCAATGAGCATTTTAATGGCATCACTTCAAAAAAAGAAGTCCTAAAATTAGATTAAGGCCAGAGCTGATTGTAAAGGCATTGTTAAACCACAAATATCTGTTTGAAAAAAATCAGCCTGTGACAATTATCATGAGAGGTCCTTGTCTGTCACTGGCAGAGGATTTGAGGAACTCCCTCCTCTGGAAAGGGAATGGATGGATCTTGGACCAGCCTCCTGCCCTCCTGTGCTGTGCTAGACAGAGGAAGATCTCCCACCAGAGCCACTTTCTCCAGCTTGGAAATGGAGGGGAAAGTGATGCTTACTCATGTTTGCTCCTTTCTGGAAAGCAGACTCACAGGAATGGTTTAAAACATTTTCCTTCACAGACCTGCAGTCAAAGCTGAACCATAGCAAGCCTCCAAATGCCAGTGCCCCAAATCTGCCCTGGCACCCTGAAATGGGGCAAGGTGGGCTTGGAACCTCCTCAGGGGGAAGACAACACATGGCACTGCCTCAAATGCAAACACAACCCATTCCTTGAGCAGTTTAGCAGCACCAAGTCCTCTGGAGTTTTCCTCCTCAGCTGACATCAGTATCAGCACTGTTTATGGAGCATATACTGACTACTCTTAAGACCACCCCTCTTGTATAATCCAGGATACCAAGGCACCATGAAATACAAACTTGTGTATGTGTTTTTTGTTTGGGCGTGTTTGAATTGGTAATGGTAACTCAATGCAGTTCTGTGTGGTAAATGTATTTTCTTTTAAGGTAATCAACATCCACCCTAGGGGAAGAACAAGGGATGCACTTGGAACACAACAATGTAGGCTTAGGCCCCAAAATATGCTCAGGGACAGCATGTAATTATTTTCTGTACACTGAGTTTGAATCTGATACTTTCCTTGAATTCTAAGTACTTGTTTATGGGCCCACAAAGTGGAAAGGAAGTTCTAAGAAAACTTGGGAGGTTGCAATTGTCATGGAAACAAATTCCTTGGGATCGATTTGTTTCCAGAGTTTTGGAGGCAACATGATGGGGGCAGCAGAAAATACAGAATATGTTGATTAAGGGGGAGGGAAAGTGTTTTCACTTAACTCCTGGTGGATGGGTTGGACTTCTGAATACTCCAAGGAACACACACAACTTCACAGGATCCACCTTCAATCACAGCTCCACTCCTTTCCAGATCTTTGCACAATCTTTTGGCAGGGCTCAGCACTCTTGATTCAACCACTTTCTCTTTTCAATAGCCCTGATTTTTAAAAATTGCTATTTTACCTATTGTTTTCAATATGGTATTTTACTGCCTATGCTGTACAGAAAGAAATTCATTAATGCTTCTATGTCACTTTTCACAGTTCTTTAAAATGTTTGGATTCTTTGCCACAAATTTAAACCCTAGGATGGAGGTGTAAGCCTCAGCTCACTAGGAAGCCCAAAAGCAGCTTGGGATGATGAGGTCAGCTGAAAGCTTGGTGATATTTTAAGTGTGTGGTTTCTGTGTGCCAGCCTGGCAGGCTTTATCAGTGTCACCAACAGCTGATGAGACTGAAAGCACAAAATCTCACAGCAATCTACTTCTGAGAGAGAAGCACACACTTCAGAGACCCCTAAACAATTCCAGATGAGGAGGTGAGTGGCAGAAAATTTAATGTAAGCTTTCAAAAGCAACTGCTCACTGAGCTCTGCTGTTTATGAAATGAAAGCTAAACCCCAGCCTTTCCAAGGGCACTGGAGATAGGCTAAATCAAAGCAGTGAGCTGCTAGCAGTGATCTGGAAAGAGCAGTGAGGACACACACTCAACTTCTGAAGTCTAGAGCAGGGCTGATTTCCAGAACAAAAAGGCTGTTCCATTGTTCCCATGTTTTTTTGTAAAAACTCACCCATGACTAGAGCATTACTTACATTCTGACTCCCCTAAACCTGAAGAAGTTTAATGAAAAATCTCTTCCCTCATGCAAAAATTCTGTTTGTATTAAATGTACAAGGAAATCCCACTGAAATTTCCTGTCCAACCACCTAACTCTTAAGTGCAACACGAATTCCACAGGGCTAATGAAATCCATCAGATGAAGGCTAGAGGTGGCTCTGAGTCAAGAGTAAATGCTACCTTCTAATCACATTTGCCTCCCAGCATATTGCACTGCTAAAGGCTGACTGGTTTGATGAGCTCTCAGAGCTAGCAGGGGCTCTGGGTCCCATCAGTAATTTGTATGGCAGCAGTGGCACTAATATTAAAGCTCAGTTTTCAACAAGGTCCATTCAGAACTCTGCCAGGATGTGAAGGCTGAGCTCCCACTGCAGTGGAAAAACAATGGTATCTCAAAGCTGGTTTTAACCAAATAATCTTCAGATCTAAGAAAGACACACACAATAAATCAACCAACCACATCTGCTTATCTAAACAACAGTGTCCAAAGCTGCCAGATTTATTCCTTGGAAATGGTAACCTGAAAATATAAAGAAACCCAAACAAAATAAGAAGTGCTTTATGAACCCTGACAAAGGCCAGCAGATGGAAAATCAAGGAAGGACAACTCTGCTCTACTGCTCTCACAGGCTGCCCACACCAAGCTCCCAGTTCCTCTTCCTGTTATATCAAAAGCAAGACATCTAATAAAAACCAAAACAAAAGCATCCCCACCTTGATTTACCTTTAAATAATAACTAATGTTCTGGTTAAGATGTAAATGAATTCTTTAGGATTTTGGGATAAGCACTCAAGGCAGCGTGCCACCCTTTGAGAAGGCTGCAGAACTTCAAGTACTATGGAATATTGGAATATTTTGTCCATGAGTGTAACATTAATTCTTCTCTTTAGTAGCTGCTGTGTTCCAGAGGGGTGTTTGAGAGTGAGAGATCTGACAGACACATTGAGCTGATTTAGAACTCTGGTTGCTACTTACATTATTGATCATGAGGTGCATGATTGTTTTCGGGATCAGATCTCGGATACATTTGTTAATAATGGACATGTAGGAGTCCACAAGATTTCGAATTGTCTCCACCTGTCTTTCCAGCTGGGGATCCATTGAAAAATTATCTGCTTGGCCATTTTCTTCAGTTTCAGTCTAAAAAGGAGAAAAAAAAAAGTCTTTCAGATTGAAGTAAACTTGAAACATATTGGGGGAAAAACCCCTGGACTTACACTGTATAATCCAGCAACATAACTCATACAAAGACTATCCACAGGTTAAAATATGAAGTCTTGGCTTGTTTAACATTAGTGTTCAGCATCAGGAAATTTGGACCTTTAAAGTTTAATGCCAAATGAGACCTTTTGCACAAAGCACATGTATGTATTTCCACACAAATTTGTAGTTTTATGTTAAAGAAAGTTTTTGGACAAAGATACACAGTGGTAAATGACACACCAAGAAATTATTTCAGATCACTTACTGCAATACTTATTATCAAATCTTTTACCATTCACATTCAGGCAGCTGGACCCATGCAAGAAAGCAGCACCATAAGTCTGGATTTTTAATTTTACCCTTCTGTGGGTAAAACCCACCTTTGCTATTTGAAGCTGACTTATTTGTGACAAATTTTGCAGTTGAGTCTCCAACTTGTTAGATGTGAATAGCACCTATATAGACAGAGGGATTATAAAAGATAACAGCAAAAGCATCATTGCTTCCAGTGCTCAAGGCTGGGTTATATATTTGTAGTCTCTTTTTCACTGGATAGAAAAAAAACCTTCTTTGTATGCAAACAACTGACCTAATTAAATACCAGCAACTTTAACTGGAAGCTAAAAGGCCTACACTTTGCCTCAGTCTGGCCTGTATAAATATAGGAAAACCTAAAAGAAAAATAGTAACCTTTTGGTGAAAATCAAACTGCTGTCTGAGGCTTGCAGTTGCCAAAAGAATGGAATTTCTACCCAGAGAGTACAAAGAACAACACTCCCCAAACTCTGATATCAAACTTCTCCCTGAAAACAATTGCCAGAGCATGAATAGCACAAACTGTAAAATCTAAATCTGAGTACCTGAGTACCTGAGTATGCTTCTGTGGGTACCCAGAAGCATAAAATCATAGAAGCACAAAGTGCTTTTGGTTTTGACTTCAGCCAAAGTGCTCCAGCCTTGCAGCTCATGTTGTTCCAAGCCCCCTTGCAGGCAGGGACACCTCCCACCACAGCAGTGCCCCATCCAGCCTGGCCTTGGACATCAGGAACACAAAGGAACGGAAAGCACTTGCAAAAACTGAAGAAGCCAACCAGGAGAATGAGCTGTGTATCAGCCAGAGCCCTGCCAGCACAGCTCCATTTACAACAGAGCTTTTAGCTAAAACTGGCACATGGCTGGTGCTTTAAACATTTCTGGAGCAGCTGAGATCAGTATCAAACCCACCAGTGAAAGGCCATTAGTGCTAAAAATGCAAACATGTCACCAAAGAGGCTTCTCCCTGCAGGAAACTGGGCCAAGAAGGGATTCCTGGTTTCATGTCCTGGTGCAGGCTCTGCTTCTGCTCACACAGCATTGCCAGGTAGAGCACTTGGAACCTTTTCAGCTACAGCTTGGTCAGTCCAGGCTAAATGAAATGGAATGTTTGTGATGTGTTACGTTCTAGTTTTGTTAAGAAATAAGACCCAATGTACCATTTAGAAACAAAACTGAGTGTTTGCAAAAGAACTTTCAAAAGTGTGGGTGAATTACTGGAAAAGCAGCTGATCTTTGAAAACAATTAGCTGTGCTTCCTAAAAATGCTGTGACTGTGGAGGACACTGAAAGGGCTCTTGATGAAAACACGGTTTTCAATGCTGTAACATTGGTAGACACCACCTTAAAAACCTTAATCTTTTTGTTAATAAACTGCATGTAGCCAAAAGTCACAATGCAAAGACTATTTTCCTTAGCCTCTGTGTCTAAAGAAAAACTAAAGGTAATGTTCCCTGTGAAATACCAAAGAAATAAAAAAATCATACATCTCTCATATATCTGCACATTTTAGCCAAGTAACTACAGACCAAAATGCCCCCTTCCCTGTTTCCCTATATTTGGCATCTATTCTCTTTCTTTTCTTCTTTGCTGTCTATATAAAGTGCAGTTTGTTCATGTATTTTTTTTCCTTTTATTTTTTTTACTCTTTAAATTACAGATTGCAATAAGATTCCTAACTGGCTAAGCAGCAAAGTGACAGATGTTTATCATTATCCTCATCAAGAGAATGTAAAGTAAAAATAGTAATTTGTCTCTGATCTTTCAGGCAAAGGGTAATAGTCTCTTGTTTGAAACTGTAACAGAGCTGACTTCATACTGTTGATTTATTTTCTCTGAAATCAAAAAAGATCAATCTTTCATGACTTTACAGTAATTTATTATGAAAGCTTCTGGCCATAGTATTCCTAATGATTTGATGTCTCAACTGAAGGCTTTTCATGCCAGAAACCATCTTGTTTGCATGGCATCATGCAGATGGAAATCTGCTTCCAGCAGGTCTCTGTGCCCTCCAGGACCCCTCCAAGCATTAGAAACCTTTCTCTGCTCAGCTGCCTCAGCTCTGTGCCAACAGCAGCAGCCAGAAATGAGGGTGCCTGGCAAGGCTGGGCATCCCAGGTGACAGAGATGCCACCCCCAGGCCGTTGTTTCACAGCAGCTCTTGTCTCTGTGAGCCTCACAGTGACCCCACCTTCAGTGCAGGGCACCCCTCAGCCCCTGTCCCTGTTTCTTACAGCATGGCTCCTGCAGGGAAAGCCTGCTCAGGGAATAAACCCAAAGCAGAGCACAGAACAAACCCTGCCAGTCTCTGCCCACTGCCCCACTGCCACCAGGCTGAGCAGGAAGGGAGAACAAACAAGGTGCAAACAGCGTTCCATGCCTCCTTTCCCAGCCAAGGCAGCCCAGTCCTTTCAGCTCCTCATCCCCAAGCCAGAGCTCACAGCCAGAGTTCCAACAGCAAGTGTTAAGTGACAGCACATGAATCTGGACTAGGTTTTTAGTCAGTTGACTCTTGCTTAATGCTGCTATTAATTGTTGACAGGAATGGAATATTGCTACTTCAAAGGAATGCAAGCACAATTATTTTAGGGAGTTCTGCAAACCTCCAACAAAGAAAGCTAAGGAAGAAGCTAGAGTGCTAAAAAACAGGTAAAGGAAATGAATTCATCTGGGAAAACTCTAAAGCAGAGTATGTGATGGAAACACACCAAGGCTACAAAGAAGCAACAGGTGAAAAAACCACAGATGAGGAGAAGGTAAGGTGGGAGCCAGGGGGTGTTTCCATGTACCCTTCCACACACCCCCCAGACATCCTTTCCTTCTGCTCACTGCACTTTAGACTGAAATATTGATCCCTTGCACCCTGCTGTGGTCTCACCTGTGTGAAGCTGCTCTGTGATCCCTGCAGGAGAAGGTGCTACTGAAACCCAAGGTCCAGCTCTGCTGCTCTCCAACCTCCCTGCATCACACACCTTCTGTACTGGGAATGTGCTAAGGATTAACTCATGTGCCCTACAAGAGCAGACCAAAAACTGCCTGTGAAATCCAAACCACTGAAGTTTGTGGGAATTATACTGCTGGCTGCAGTGGGAAGAGGATTTCATAATTTCTACCAGAGAAGTTATCGATCTTCTGAAGATTGTGTGCTCTCTGCTGCAAGAGGAATGATTTAGTGTGGTACTGGGGGTGCTGTGCAATCCAAAACAAAGGAGTAATACCTTAGGATATTAGGGTAATTTTTCTGATTGTAGAAATTATAAGCAAGTTCAAGAACGTCCCAAGGAAACTTAATGAAAAGTGATTCCTTTTGAAATTCACAGCAAAAGTGGGTAACACACTGAAAACAGTCCTGAGCTGGCCACACAGAGAGAGCAATACTTCTAATTTCCATGATTTCATTACATTCAGTGCAGCTGCCAGCATATTTAAGAATGTCTTGTATAACATTCCTGATGTCAGTTCCAAGAAGGAGCATTTGTCTGGCATTTTCATTAGAGAAGTGTATCAACCAATTTTCTGTAATCAAAAAGGCATTCTATTAACAGTGACCAGGAGGAAGCAGACTGGAAGGTGACTGACTCAAGGGTAAAAATCAGAGCAGCAGCAAAGCAATGCTCTGTGCAGTACAAAATATGTCCATGGCTGCAGTAAGAAATTGCTCATTTCAAAGCTGCTTCCAGCTCTTTCATTTACAGTTCCAAGTTCACAACAGCAACAACCACCTGAGAATTAATTATTCCAGCCAGATTGCATTTATGTTTTAATTCACAGCTGCTGAAAATACATATAAAATCCATTTTATATATCCCTGTCCAAGTAAGTTTTTTCTTTAATGCACCAACACTCAGCACACTGCAGTTGTTCTAACCCCCCCCTTCTTTTCCCTAAATCTTTACAATTGATTCTCTCTTCATTGCAGTTAGATGCTGGATATATAATTTAGCTAAGATCCTCTCAGCTGTACATAGTGTGCCTTTTGCCAGAGGACTGCTGAAACCACATGATGGCTTCACACAGTGAGGTTTTCTTACTGGAAGGAACCACAAGTAAATGACAATACATTACTTTTGTGTATTTACAACAAAGCAAGCAGCAGAAAAAGAACACTTCCCAGGCAGCTTGGAAGCTGTCCTTTTCCTTCACAGAGGGTGACTCTGCCACTCTCTTCCATGCTTTCAGCATGTCCTGACTTTGTACTGCTGTTCCCTTTACTGAGCCACCCACAGGCTGCCCCTTTCAGCTGCTATGCCTTCATTAGCAGCCTGGAGCTGCTCTGAGCAGAGGTTGTGATCTGGCTTTCCCTCACACACAGCATCTCTCTCACTTCATAACCTCCACAAGAATGATACACCCTACTGCAGCTTGCTTCACAAGTGTTTCACTCCCTGGATTAGCTTAAATAATCATTTATTCCTGTTGTTGTCTGTGGCTACAGACATTGCCCAGGACAGACCATGAGCTAAATCCTCCTGCTGAATGCACACACTGCTCCCCAGTATCTCCATGGCTTCAACCATCCCAAACATTCCCAATCTGGCAGGCTCTCTCCCTGGAGAGGAGAAGCTGATTTGGAACTGTGACACTGGGAGAAATGTTGTATTACCTGAACTCCAAGAAATCTGGAT